ATCACCGAGTGATCAGAAAATGGAGACAAGAGCTTTTAATGTAAACGGGGAAGTTTTGGTTGGTTTGTCTAAAATGGTATCACCTCTGGCTGTGAAGAGAGAGGCTATTGAAACTAAAAGTATGCATGCTTGAAATCCCTAACAATCGTACTTCAACATTTAGAAATTAGGTAAATTGAAAAGGTCCAAAATGAGCCCTAGGAAAAACTGTGCAGAATAAGGTGATGTATACGTTACTTGTTAGTCACGTGAAAAGTTGAAGAATTGGAATTATACTCGATGGACAGTACCATTCAAAACAAAGCTAAAGAGAAATTTCAACTTTTCCGAATGTACCATCCATACACATTGTAAGAAAACTCAAAGTGGCGAATAAGCTCGTTTGCGGTGATTCTTCTACGGACTAATACATCACAATTTAAGTCAAACTGTTTAGAAGGGCAGGGCAGGGGGGGGGGTAAGAAATCATGACAAGTTGGAAAAGAAATAGTCAACATTCCAGTTCCATGATCGGATGTTGCTCACACATGCGCATTGGTTTGGTTCATTCGTAAGAACACTCGGTCTTCCATGGCCAACACCACACACGACACAAAAAATTCAACTTGCCAGACTATTTGGAACTGATATAAGCTACGATACTAACTCCATAGTTTTTCTTCATCGTTTTCTGCCTCGACGGGAGCAGTCGAAGTGATCGATGTGCACGAGTGTATCATCTTTTTTGTTTTCATTCAGCGAATTTACTTGCGTGCCTGTTGCACACAAATTCAGGTGAATTTAAAATGAAGGACGTTGAGTGAGCACAGTAGTTATCTAAACATTGGTCTGATATTGGTATCTGTAAAAACAAAAACAGTCATTGATTTAGGAGATGTACTACTGAGGGCGATCTGCCTCCTTGCACACTTGCGCCTCTTGATCTAAACTGTTTCATGCTTTTGGGTAGAAAAAAATTTCATCCTAGGTGAAATATTGCATAAAAGTTTATGCTTGAGTTAGCAATACGACGTGAATTGGACGGTAATACGATAAGTCCATTAAAGCATCGAACAAACCACTGTAGGATAACCAATCATAGGACGCGCGTAACTTATCTTGTTTAGTTACATATATACAGAAGAATTCACTGTTTTTAGGGAGAGTTCTGTATCATTTTCCAGTGTGGCGAATGTAAACTAAGTCCATTCAAATCGCAAGTTATTAACGTTGGAAGTTTGTATATCAATTTGTGTTAGGACCGGAGAGTTGTTGGTACTCGTCAGCAACGTGTCTCTGGCAGGACTGGGACCGCAAGCCTTCGGACTCGAGGCTGGAATCCTCATCCATGACAGTCGCAACTCTGAGTGACTATCTATATCAATTTATAAGGATGTTTTTTGGATTGACCCATTAAATTTCACAGGTACTTAACACCACTTATGGTTTTGTTTGAATGTTTTATCCATTCGTCGCATGCTACATGCAGTTTATTGCAAACTGTTACGAGGATCAATCACGAAGGAGTAAGTGATTGTAGAACACTGAATCAATTGCGATCTGGATATTCATGCAATTGATATCATGCTTTGTTCTGCCTAGCCGCGGAATCGGTGGTGTCAGTAAAGTTTTGCGTTACTGCCATATCTCATGGGCTTTCTATAAATTTCCGGTATGAAAACTCTTAAACTTGATTTGAGTGAACCACTTTCAAATAAATTTAAAAAAATACCTAATCACCACTTTTCTATACACGAAGGATATTGTAATCAGATTTGTTACCTCCCCGAAAATGTATATATTTACTGAGAGGCCTGACAAGCTCTCATTTTTTCATTTTCCGATAAGCATCATTTACAGTAATTATTATAATAAGTATTATAATAATTTTTTATCCAAATCAAACTGAATTGTTTTCGGTCAAACTTGTGTTGCCTATGTTCCGCATTTTGTTTTCACACTTCCACCACAGGTCCCTCTACACGACGGAACTATGCACAATTGATTTCCCGCCTCACTGTGCCGGAGTCAATTTATGCCTTGTTGCTCTATCGAGATGTTTGGGACACAGACGATTTCGAGCCGTATCTGATCGATGGACATGGTGGAAATGTGCCACTGGGCCTCCCACTGAACGCTTCTCGCATCGAGGACGATGGTGAAGGTGGTCTGTTGATAGGGTGCCGTTTCATTCCCGATTGTCCATCAAATCCTGCCCAGGTGAACTAATGTAAACTCTCAGCCCTACATCGTCTTCCTCTCATTTCTCGTGCTTTTAACCTTCACTGGATTGACTTTTCACTTTGTGCAGAATTTTCTTTTCTATTTTTCACTGAAGTATACCTAACTTTTAACTGTCTGTTTTCATTGCCCAGATTGTGATCAAGGGAATTACTGTTCTGTTTCCCGTGCGCCAAGGCTCTGAGAAGTTTCTCAGAAACCGACCAGAATGTGTGGGTATGAATTACTCGCCAGTGATATCTTTGTAGATTTGAGCTTATCGGCTTTATTCTTACACAGTCTTTGCTACAAAATCTGTGAGATTGTCCAGACCACCGCAGTGCGCAAACATCCTTGCAGCCTTTCCCATCAATTTGGGTCAACAATGGACGTGTCAAGTGCTTGTACCTTCATAAATGTCTTTTGCAATGTGCTTAAGATACTCCTTTCATGTTTCAAAGTGCACCTCAAAGAACTACTGGCCTTTCAGAGTAGTTTTATTGATCCATCTTTGTTCTCTACCGATGAATGTGATTAAGTGAAATATATATTGAGCTTATCGCATGTCGCTATCAGCTAAACTCGCGAAAGAAAGCTCCGAAAATGTGTGTTAGATCATTTTTCCCAGTTTGCATGCTCGGTACGCCCCTGGATGGATAGATCTGAACCCAAAGGTACCATTGGATGAAATGCATCACACAAATAGTGTTACTCGGGTGAGCACGTTATTTTTTTGTTTGAACTGTGGAAAAATCAGTAGCTTCGGTGGGATTCGAATGTAGGCGTATACGAAATTGCAAACCTGGTCCCTTTTAGAATATCACAGCCGGATACTCCTGAGGAAATACCCAGTGGTGTTTCTGCACTAACTCCCTTTCTGTGTCAATGTTATTACTCTCATTTTGCATACAGAATACTGCGCAACTTACTCTTTCTTTGGTGTGAGTTCATTGCGAAATATCAGGTATCAGTGTGGTGGTTTCAAAGACTGAGAACTATTGATTGTGTCAATCTATGGTGCCATTGTGGTAGAAATCATCCATTGTTATTATGCTGACATTTTTGCACATCGGAGTGCTTTTACCAAACTGTATGATTATCACTGACAAGTTGATTGACACTTTAGACCTAAAAAAATCAATTAATGATTGCATTTATCTGTGGTTTTCAATACTCCTAAATACAAATCATGTGAATCATATGGGCT